TAATAATAATAAAACCTTGAGAGTATTTGCTTAGGAAGTTTTCCATATTCAGTATTTTTGGAAGTGTTAATGAAGTACTGATGGGGTGGTCATAATAATCTGTCCACTCAGTATATATAAAAGCCTAAGCAACCAAATGACCGAACAACTGGTCGACCAGTCACTATGCCCCATACTGACCACCAGGGGGCAAACACTCAATGCAGGAGCTGCCCCTGGGTGGTCAGTGCACTCCCACAACCAACCTTCCACAGCCTGCCCACTTTCTGTGGCTCCAATCAGCTCCAATCACCCACCAGGCCGACAGACCCCAACCATGCACAAAATCGTGCACTGGGCCTCTAGTAAAGATATAAATTACAGGCATACTACAAAGTAAACTTGTCCATTAAAATAACTTGGCCTAACCCTAGCCAGTTTAACCCAGTGGATAGAGCGTTGGCCTGCAGACTGAAGGGCAGTGGATCCGATTCTGGTCAAGGGCATGTACCTCAGTTGCAGGCGCGTGTGGGAGGCAACCAATAGATGTGTCCCTCTTACATCAATGTTTCCCTCTCTCTATCTCTCCCCCTCCCTTCCACTCTTTCTAAAAATCAATGGGAAAATATCCTCAGGTGAGGATTAACAAAAAAACAAAACAAAACAATAACCTTACCTAAGGGTAATAATAATTAAAATGTTAAAAAATGTTATCAGTGAGAACAGCAAAATCCATGCCTTTTTCCTACCTACAAAAAAAAAACTGAATAAAAATACAAGTTGAAAAGTGTTCTAACATATTTTAATAGATTAATATGGCAGAGAGATCAAATACACAATTACAAATGATAAAACATGGCTACATAAAACAATTGTTTTTCTCTCTAGTGAGAAAAATAACCTTCAGGGAAGTGAAGCACTACACTCCTCCTCCTCCAAACCCAAATCATTCTACTACCTCACCTCCTACACATGAGCACTGTCTGACTGTCTGATATTTAATCTCCAGATCTCTTTAGTGAAATCTGTTAGTATATCAGGCTCAACCTTAAAAGAAAGTTTAAAAAACCCTCTCTGAAGTTAACGATTTTTCTTTTTTTTTTTTTTAATCCTCACCTGAGGATATTTTTTAATTTATTTTAGAGAGAAAGGAAGGAAGAGAGAGAAACATCAGTTGGTTGCCTCCCCTACGCACCACAACCAGGAATTTAACTCAAAACCTAGTTATGTGCTCTGACGGGGAATCAAACTTGCAACGTTTTGGTGTATGAGACAACACTCCAACCAACTGAGCCATCTGGCCAGGGCTAGAAATATTTTCTAAAGGTTCATTAATATAATATACAGTAAAACTAAATTACTTAATAAGCTCTCAAAGAAGAAGATCACAGAAAATATATCTCTGGCCCTGGCTGGATAGTTCAGTTGGTTAGAGCATTGTCCTGATACACCAACATTGTGGGTTTGATCCCCTAGCAGGGCACATACAACAATCAACCAAATGAATGAATAAGTGGAACAACAAATAGATGGCTCTCTCTCTCAAAAATCAATAAATAGCCTTGGCAAGTGTAGATCAGTTGGTTGAGCATTGTCCTATGCACCTAAAGGTTGAGGGTTCGAATCCTGGTCAGGGCACATATCCGGGTTGTGGGTTTGATCCCTGATAGTGGAGGGGCAGCATATGGGAGGCAACCAATAGACATTTCTCTCTCTCTCTCTCTCTCTCCTCTCTTTCTAAATCAATATAAACCTATCCTCAGGTGAGGATTAAAAATAAATTTAAAAGTCAATAAATAAAAATTAAAAAAGAACATATATCTCTGTTGTTTCTTGAACAATGGTAAAATAATAAATTTTCAGAATAACAATTTATAGCCTAACTAGAAATTACATGGGCAAGTAATATATCATGTTGCATGTGTGTTCCATAAATTTGTGTCAACATGTTAGGTGATATCTAACATAAATCTTTTAAAAGAAAAAAATAGAATTAAATGTATTTTAAATTTAAAGCATTCATCCTGACAGTAGTTATTAAGATTAAAGCAATTTCAGTTATATGTGGAAAGTTTTCCCATGTTACTCTCATTCATAAAATGCCTCTCCCTCCTTTCTTTCTCCCAATATTTTCTTCCCAATACAAGAGTTTGAGGCCCAATTAGATTGTGACCATGATTTTCTTGTATTTTATTCCTGGCACCCAGATTAATTCTGGCATAGCCGGTACTCAATAAATGTTAATAACTGTTGTTAAAAGAAGCGGAAAAATATGATAGGAGAGGGTCTTGTGTAAATTACTGAGATCTAATCCATTACCTCTCTGCATCTAGAAGTAACTTTTCCCAGAACCTTGTTTCTGTCAGAGCATTTCTAGCATAGGATGAGAGTTAATCTGTGCATGCTATGCTTGCTGACTCTCTGATGTCCCTGATTCTGCTTACCTATCCAGGCCTCTGATGTCCCTGATTCTGCTTACCTATCCAGGCCTACATTTGCTTTCATGTCGTACATGGATTCCATAAACCTGATACTTATAGGACTTGGATGTATATTGAGATCACTCTGGACCCAGTGACCATTCATTATGGAGGCAGACATTACTGAAGGAACTGAGATGATCAGGTCCTAATGGTAAGACCCCACCACTGTTCCACCTCTGCTCCTTCCATTCTCATTAGATGAACATGACAGAGTGTAACTATGGCATTTAGGTCAGACAGATTTCAGCATTAAAAGTTGATTCTGATTCTGAAGAATGTGTGTAAAGTAACTTCTCAAGTCATATATTGAATGTATTGACCTCCCCTGGCTACCAGTTTAGCAAAGTACATCCTGACCTCCCTGCTGAGGCACTAGACCAGTGGTCGGCAAACTGCAGCTTGCGAGCCACATGTGGCTCTTTGGCCCCTTGAGGGTGGCTCTTCCATAAAATACCGACTTCTGCGCATGGGCCACGAAGTTTCAATCGCACTGTACATGCGCCCGCACGTGGTATTTTGTGGAAGAGCCACACTCAAGGGGCCAAAGAGCCGCATGTGGCTCGAGAGCCGCAGTTTGCCAACCACTGCCCTAGACCAAGGGTGGGTTTTCTGCAGTGCTTTGGGAGGAGTGCTCAAATGCCCTTCTTAAGTCAAACCCCATCTCACATCCTCATTATGTTTGCACAATCTGCATGACTGAATAGCTGCTTGGATGTCCAATCCACACTCCCTTTCCCCACTAGGACTTAAATCCTATTCTGAGTCTCAGCCCTAACACCCAGAAGGCAACATCCTGACTCCCAATGCCTTATAACATAGATACTTGAAAAAATAGAGTGAAGGAGGAAAAGGGGATGATTAAATAAATTACGTGGTTTTCCTTGTTATATTTATTTCCAATGTATTATTTGACTCCTTAAACTTTGGATTGAGACCGAAACCCAGCTATATGCCAGGAATTGAACCGGCAACTTTTTGGTGCATGGGATGATGTCCAACCAACTGAGCCACACCGGTCATTTATTATTAGGGAGTAATTTGGAACAATTCCTTCAGAGGATATTTTTCAATAGAATTGTTAAAATATAAGTGCACATATCCAATACCCTCAAATCCTCTTCAAGAAATTTATTCCACACTCACAATTGTGCAAAGATAATTTATGAGTGTTCACTGTAGCACTGTTTTTAATAACAAAATTTAATTAGTGATCAATCAGACTATGGGGAAATAAATAAAATGATATGCCTCCATTAAAAACAATCATGTAGGTCAGGATGTGCTGATATAGAAAGACTTCTAAATATACTGTTGAAAGGCAGGAGGAGGATTTGGAATAGTATTTTGAGTTAAATACACATACACACACAATAATAAATGTATCCAAAATATCTGGGTGTTTACAATATAGTGTTTTATCATGGGGATGCAAGAGGAAGGAAGGAAGCCTAAAAGCCTAATGCAAAGATTAAAAATAAGGCGGCCAGCAGCAGGTCAGACTACTGTAGAAGTCATTGGTCTTATTCACTAATTTTTGTATGACATTCATTCAAGAATTGCCCTGATTAGTCCCTTAACAACCTAGAGCCGTGGTCGGCAAACTGCGGCTCGAGAGCCACATGCGGCTCTTTGGCCCCTTGAGTGTGGCTCTTCCTAAGCCTTAGGAGTACCCTAATTAAGTTAATAACAATGTACCTACCTATATAGTTTAAGTTTAAAAAACTTGGCTCTCAAAAGAAATTTCAATCGTTGTACTATTGATATTTGGCTCTGTTGACTAATGAGTTTGCCGACCACTGACCTAGAGAATCGCTCAAGAGGCTCGCATTAAGATTGCTCTGCTGTTCGGTGCTGATGTTTCTGAAGACTTATATAGTCTTTTAAGCAGGAATACTTTTTAGGTATTCATTTCATCGTGATACATGTATCTCCCATTCCCGTGCTGATGAGTTTGAATTGCTTTGAGAATAAACTTTTTAAATAAGTTGTCCTTATGTAACTTCCATGAAACAACTCTGTGACACCCGTGCAAAACTGTTTTTGCTTTTATTCTGTAAGACATCTCGAAAATGTAGTAACATTTCCTGCAGCTAAAGAGAGGGCGGAAATATAAACTGTCTCTTCCCTGTAAACCAGATGCCGTTTCAACCACTTTGTCACCAGCCCTTTTGTCTGCAAAACTGTTTTTCCTAGTGATGTGTACGTCCAGGTCAAAGATCTGTGAGACAACCCGAAACTGTGAAGAGTAAAAGGGCCTGAAATCTACCACAACTTCACACGTTCTCTTCTTCCCTTGAGACTTAAGGGCACGCAGCCAGATGTGTCTTTTGACTACTGGAAATCAGTCAACAGTCTTCCCACAGTGGCAAACAAGTCAAAGGCACGTCACCAAGGTGTGAACTGCGCCTGGGGTATTGCTCCCCTCCCACACACCTCCTGCCTCCAGCTCACTCCAGGCAGACCTCAGGACCGGAAGGAGAGGCCACAGGAGACTACAATTCCCAGCAGGCGTAGAGGGACGGGGTCAGGGACGGGGTCACGCACGCGCAGCCCACACGCTAGGCATGAGGTCCTGCTGCGGGGGCTTCTGGGAGAGAAACATGGCGGCGCCCGGGCTACTGCCCGGCGTGGGCAGGCTCATTGAGATGCCCGCCGTGCTGGGGCGCTTGAGCCGAGCTTACAGCAAGTCCCACGCCTTCACGGAGGTTCTGCAGCTGCCAAAAATGGAACTGACGAAGCTCGTGTTCCCGTTACAGGAACTCCAGCGGCATCTCCTCCCTGACGCCAAGCCCGACCTTCTTCAACTGAGGATCTTTGACCCGAGCCTGGAGGCCATCGCGAGGGCGGAGAGCTTCTTCACGGCCACCCCGCGGAACCGCATCGAGTACGTCAGCTCGGCGGTGCGCCTGGACCACGCCCCCGACCTCCCCCGCCCGGAGGTGAGAGCGCGCTGCCCGCCCGGGCTGGAGGCGTGGGAAGGGCTTCTGTGGTCACAGAACGGGAGAGGCTTTCTAACTTTGTGGAAGCATACAACTATTTTAACTACATAAGCAAGTCTAGTTTTAATTACTTCGGTAACGAGTATAGGAGACTTGAACAGGTTTCAAAGACAAAATTTAAGTGTTCAAAAAATTATCCTTGTAATGTTTTCCTATTTAATTTGTTAACGTAAGAAACATTCAAGCCTGTGAAGAGTTTCTGAGAGTTTAAGCCAAACTGTGGACAGTTGCCGGGAAGCAGAATAGCAATGTGTTGAGGTAACGCTCCTGAGAAAGGCAGTTTTTCACCTTGTTTTATACATTGCAGTCTAAGGAGGTGATAGATGGGGGCGGTGGTAGATGGGGGCGGTGGGAGAAGGCAAAGCAGAGAAACCTGGGACTGGAGGAAAGTGAAGTGAGAGACACATGCTGCTTTTACTCGGGTGGGTACAGGATAGCTGACAGTCAACAGTTAACACATAACAACAGCCAGGGAATTTGTGATCTCCTCCCTGGCACACTGATTGTGCCCCGAGGAGGCAGGAAAAAAGGGAAGTTACAAGTTACCCTGACATTCCAGAGGTATGTTCTCTTAGTCAGTGGTTCTCAACCTTCTGGCCCTTTAAATACAGTTCCTCATGTTGTGACCCCAACCATAAAATTATTTTCGTTGCTACTTCATAACTGTAATGTTGCTACTGTTATGAATCGTAATGTAAATATCTGATATGCAGGATGGTCTTAGGCGACCCCTGTGAAAGGGTCGTTCCACCACCAAAGGGGTCGCGACCCACAGGTTGAGAACCACTGTCTTAGATGCAGAAAGACATAGGCTCAGTTAAGGTCAGAGTTGATCTTTGTCAGGGATGACACCGGGTTAGGACATGACTATCCACCAAAAACTGCTTTCAACTTAAAGTTTAATTTCAGACCATCCTCTGTGACTTAGGTCTCTGAGTTTGCAAGACGGCCAGGCAGGCCTTCTCTGAGCTAGTCAGCTTAGCATGTGGCCCTTTTTCATCCACAAATTGAAGTTATTTACTATTATCTGTATATATTCTGTATATATAAAAGGCTAAGTGACCAACCATATATCCATCTTACCGGCCAGCCGGTACATATGACACACAGTGGCAATTTAAAAATGAACGTTAAAATTGCCCTAACTGGTTTGGCTCAGTGGATAGAGTGTCAGCCTGCGGACTGAAGGGTCCCAGGTTCGATTCCGGTCAAGGGCATGTACCTTGGTTGCGGGCACATCCCCAGTGGGGGGTGTGCAGGAGGCAGCTGATCGATGTTTCTCTCTCATTGATGTTTCTAACTCTCTATCCCTCTCCCTTCCTCTCTGTAAAAAATCAATAAAATATATCTAGAAAAATAACAAATAAACGTTAAAATAAATAAATAAATAAATATAAAAATAAATGTTGACTCGCATATGCGTGATACATATAAAGCTCTCACTGGCGCCAATTGCATGCATATGCTTCTATCTCATTGTCAATCGTGAATTTGGTTGACACCTCTATTACAGAGAAAGGGCGAATAGCGATATTAAAATATTTCTTCTAATTAATTTCCTTTCAACGTGCACGAATCCGTGTACCAGGCCACTAGTTTTTTTAATAATTTTTTTAAAAATATATTTTATTGATTTTTACAGAGAGGAAGGGAGAGAGATAGAGAGTTAGAAACATCGATGAGAGAGAAACATCGATCAGTTGCCTCCTGCACATCTCCTACTGGGGATGTGCCTGCAACCCAGGTACATGCCCTTGACCGGAATCGAACCTGGGACCTTTCAGTCCACAGGCCGACGCTCTATCCACTGAGCCAAACCGGTTTCGGCTAATAATTTTTTTTTTTTTTTTAATTTTGATTTCAGAGAGGAAAGGAGAGGGAGAGAGAGATAGAAACATCAATGATGACAGAGAATCATTGATTGGCCACCTCCTGCACGCCCCCTTCTGGGGATCAAGCCCACAACCTGGTCATGCGCCCTTGACCAGAATCGAACCCAGGACCCTTCAGTCCCGAGACCAACACTCTATCCACTGAGCCAAACCAGCTAGGACGTGGGAGTACCCGGAGGAATCCCACACAAACATGGGGAGAGCGTGCAAACTCCACACAGTCAGTGACCCTGCCCATGAATTGATTTTTTCTCTCTCATCAACTTTATAACAAAACGACCATGGAGGAAAGGATGTTATTCAGGGATCCGCTGTATTTGTAGTAACTGTACCACTGCATTGAAAATGTTCTTCGAATATATTTAGAACTACTATAATTTAAGAGCATATATATCATTTAATAATTTTGAGATAGCATTGCTTTTAAATTATTGGACTTTTTGAGTATTTGTTTTTTAAAATTCAGTTTTATTAAAATTCAATTTTATTATCTGTAGATTATCTTTGGATTTAATCTGGCAGAGCATTTGAAATTTAAGCAGGATTCAGATCAATTCATTTTGAAGGACTGACCACAGTTTTGCACAATATATAGCATCCCTGACCCCTGTCTACTAAATGCCATCTGATCATATTGATAATCAAAAATTTTCTCACAAATTTCCAAAACACGCCCTCATTTAGAACCACTGATTGGTATTGTACCCCCTTCAATACCATGTTAGAAAGCAGAGCCATGTGTATCAGGAATATTTTGTTCCTTTCTACACTATAGAGCAGTGATTTTCAACCAGTGAGCTACAAGAATTTTTAAAACATATAATACCTGACTAGTCAGGGGCACTGACCTCTTTTCCCTTAGATTCTCAAATTAAAAAATGACAACAGCCAACACAATAGCTATCTGGAGTGAATGAATCAAAATTATACTTTTTTTTTGGTCTGATTAGCAAAAAATAATATGTATTTTTTGGTGTGTCACAGAATTTTAGTAATTACTTTATGTGTGCCCTGAGCTGACTATAGTATAGAGCACTAAAGGAGAAAAGCTTAATTGGAAGAAGAGATTTCAAGAGAAAGGAATAACCTCTTAATTACATTGTACTCTGAAAGTTTGTGGGGAAATGTGGTTCTATTTTCAAAAAACTTTGTAAATGTAGGATGCTTAATAAATGTTGCAGATATTCTTGAGTAGCATAGTGTAATTAAAAGCACAGGTTCTGGATATAGATGTCTGAGTTCAAATTTCAACTCTCTTACTTTTTAGCTGTATAATTTTGGGCCAGTTATTTAACCTCTTTCTGCCTCATTTTATCATCTGTATTATGGCGAGGCAGGAGTGAATAGCTTGACAGGTTTTTGCAGCTAATACATCATAATAAATTTATATATTAAGCTAGTACTCAATTAAAAAATTGAGTTTTCTCTTTCTTTAAAAAATTTTCTTTTTAAAAAAATGTTTTTTTAATTTATTGGGGTGACATCCTATATTATAAAAGCCTAATATGCAAGTCGACCTAACGGCAGAATGACTGGTTGGCAGGGGGTGGGACCAGCGAGTGGGCAGCACCAGGCCAGCCAAGGAGGTGCCAGTGGGCAGAGGGAGGGGACAGCAATGGGGGGGCAGCGGTGACAGGTGGTGGCGGAGGGGTGATCAGGGGGCAGGCTGGCCACTCACCAGCTGGTGCCGTCCCCCGATTGCCCCGCCGGTCGCCTCCCACAGAGGGAGGCCACTTGTGGTGGCAGGGCGATGGGGGACGGGGCCATCTGCTCGCTGGCCAGCGCTGTCCCCTGATTGGCCCGCGGGTCGCCTCCCACAGAGCCAATCAGTCAGCTATCCCGCGAGTGCTCCTGCTCTGCGAGAAGGCACAGGTAGGGCTGAGGGACTCCCCCTGAGTGCATGAATTTTCATGCACCAGGCCTCTAGTTGGTTAATAAAATTATATAGGTTTCAGGTGTACGATTCTATAATATTAGAGGCCCAGTGCATGAATTTGTGCACAGGCGGGGTCCCTAGGCCTGGCCGGTGATCAGGGCCAATCGGGGCCATCTCACCCAGTCCCGAAGTCCCAATTGGGACCTGCCGGCCAGGGGGAGGGACCGTGAGAGGTTAGCCAGCCACAGGGAGGGACCAGGGAAGGTTGGCCAGCCACGGGAGGTTGGCTGTTGGAGCGCACTGAACACCAGGGGGTAGCTCCTGCGTTGAGCGTCTGAGTGCGCATCATAGCAACTGGTCGACTCGTCATTTGGTCGTAACGGTCGCTTAGGCTTTTTATATAGAGAGAGATATATAAATATCATCTGTATATTGTATTATCTGTTCACTACCCAAAGTCCAGTCTCCTTCCATCACCGTTTATCCCTCCTTTACCCTCTTCCAACTCCCCCCATTCCCCTTTCCCTCTGGTAATCACCATACTATTGTCTGTGTCTATGAGTTTGTTGTTTCGGGTTTTTTCTTTTGCTTAATTCCTTCACCTTTTTCACCCAGCTTCCCTTCTCTTTTTGTGTATAAGGTGTGTTTTATAGGCAGAAGCAATGTTGGAAAATCTTCTCTAATAAAGGCTTTGTTTTCATTGGCTCCAGATGTTGAAGTCAGAGTCTCCAAAACCCCGGTATGTTGAAATTTCAAATCTGTTGGAACTATCTCTCAATTGACCAAGATGAATAAAGTGTTGGGGGAATACAAGAAATGATAATAGCCAAGTTTCTAGAAAAGTGATTTCTTTCAAACAAGTAGTAAAGTAAGAGATTACATCAATGCCTTTGTATTTCTTTGAAGGAAAGGAAATATGTCTGGATTTATTTTAGTAGTCTTGCCAGTATCTTGAGGAAATCTTCCTTGGTCAAAATCTTTTCCAAAGAGTTGTTCTTTTGTTATTCTATACTAGAGGCCCAGTGCACAGATTCGTGCACTGGTGAGGTCCTTGGCATGGCCTGCAGGAATCGGGCCAAAGCCGGCAGTCCAACATCCCCCAAGGGATGTAGTAGTGTGTGAAGGGGCAGGCAGCCGGGGAAGAGCCCAAGCCTGGGCCAAGTGCCGCACGGCTCCCACTCATCCCACCCCTGCTGCACCTGCCGCCACCACTCAGTAGACTCACTGCCACTCCACTGCGGTCTCTGCATGCCCATTCTAGGGTGATACTGGTGCGCCCATGACTGAAAAGCATCCACGGGCTAGCGCCCAGTCAATCCCAATGCTGGTCCCGACCCTAGTCCCGGTCCAGATGGGGGAGGGGCGTGCAGGGGGAGTGCCCGTGGGAGAGGCTTGTGCCACCACAGCTGTGCTTGCCAGCCGTGAGTCTGGTGTCTGTCACCCGTTGGTCAGCTGAGCGGCGCTCCTGCTGGTCAGTGCACATAGCAACCGGTCGAACAGTTGTTTAGGCTTTTACTAGTATATATATATAGATTTGCTTTCAAGAATGATCATCTTAGTTCTACATTGATTTCAGAGGAAACAGTTGTAAAGTGGGTTTTTTTCTCCCTGTAATCTTTTATACTCTGCTAACTCATACATATACACCAATCAGGCAAATCCCAGTCTACTCCAGGCCAAATTATGTGCTTATTATCCCAGCCAGTCTGCTGTAGTGTCCTACATGCTTTCTGTCATTTTCTAATTTTCTCTATTTCCTTCTCAATGATGCAGACTACCAATATCTAAGCACTTCAGTACTTCCCCCAGTTCCTCTCACCTTACTATCTATCCATGGCAAAACATTCCCACCAACCCAGTGCTCACTGCCCTCTTTCTTTGCATTGGAACTCTTCCAAGAGACTTCACTAGTCCTCTCTTGCTTCTAATTTCTTCATAAAGTTGATTCCCTGGCTCTGTCATTGATGATTGTTGTCATTCGTTAATTCTCCTGCCCTTCCTCCTGCCCTGCCTCACCAGATAACCCAGGTAAACTCTCTCTTATAGGCAGGGTGTTTGGTTCCTGCTATGAGAGGACAATGCAAGAAATGTATTTCTGACATTCCTCATCTATAATTCTAAAATCATTTTCTTACTGATACATAGTTGACTGGGAACCTAAGCACCATTTATAACACCTTTCTTCTGAAAATATTTGTTCTAAATTTCAAAGAATTGACTGCTTATTTATCTTAATCTTTCCTTTTCTGATTAATAAATGTCCATAGAGATAAAATCTTGAATAATCCACTTATCATGACATAAATATTAGTTTCACAGATGTTTAATAGTGTTGTACATGCTTTTTAAAAAATAGTTTAATGAAAGCACTTAAACCCATCCAATGAAACATGCAAAACATGTTGATTTTAAGGAAGCGGTAATTCTATATAATAAAAGCCTAATATGCTAAGTGTCCAGCCGACTGGTCAGCCGTTCAACCAATCAGAGTGTAATATGCTAATGATATGCTAAGGCCGCTCAACCACTCACTATGACTTGCATTGACCACCAGGGGGCAGACAGTCAACCAGTCGCTATGATGTGCACTGACCACCAGGGGGCAGATGCTCTGACCGGTAGGTTAGCTTGCTGCTGGGGTCCAGCTGATCGGGACCGAGCGAGACGGGCCGGACATGCCCTGGAGCCCTCCTGCAGTCCCTCCCTGGCCCTGATGGTGGGTGGGTGGGTGGGAGGTAATCAAAGACCATCCTATATATTAAAAGGCTAACATGCAAATTGACCAAACGGCAGAATGGCAGGTCGCTATGACGTGCACTGACCACCTGGGGGCAGACACTCAATTGCAGGTGCTGCACCCTGGTGGTCATTGCGCTCCCACAGGGTGAGCTCCGCTCAGCCAGAAGCTTGGCTCACAGCTGGCGAGCTCAGCTGCAGTGGCAGGAGCCCCTCCCACCTCTGTGGCAGTGCTAAGGATGTCCAACTGATGGAGCGGGCCTAAGCCGTCAGTTGAACATCCCCCGAGGGCTCCTGGACTGCGAGAGGGCGTAGGCTGGGCTGAGGGACCCCCCTCTGAGTGCACTAATTTCGTGTACCGGGCCTCTAGTCTAGGCATAATAAACTATCAGGTTTTACATCTAGGTTTTATGGTTCTATGACTAACAGTATTTAATTTAACCTGTGCCAACTTCATTTCTTATTTGAGATATATTACTCAGCAGAGAATATTGACTAGTACAGTCACACCAGGTTAACTTTTTTACTGAGAACTAATGAAATAGGAAAGACTCCAAAATATTTTGCCTACATATTTCTAATATGGAATCTAAAGTTCTTCTTAAGTCATATATATTATCTTAAAATTATGAATTGGAAAGAAGTAGTATCTAAGCATATCTCCAGCCATTTCTATCTTTTTAGTTTTATTTTTTTTAATCCTTACCCAAGAAGTGAGGATATTTTTTCCATCAATCTTAGAGAGCATGGAAGGGAAAGAGGAGTAAGAGAGAGAGAGAAACATCAGTGTGAGAGAGACACATCAATTGGTTGCATGGGGATCAGACCTACAACAAAAGTATGTACCCTTGACCTTGGAATTGAACCTGTGACCCTCCAGTGGGTAGGCTGATGCTCTAACCACACCAGCCAGAGCTTTACCTTCTTTTCTTGTTTAATTATCAGCATAGCTGGGATTGTATACAGAATATTTATACATGTTAATAAATATGATTGAATAGAAAATATTTTGAGATATAAAATATATACTGAACATACTTGAAGAAAGTTTTCACTTTTTTCTATTTATTTTATCAGGGGCACACAAAGAAAATGAATTTTTTCAAAGTTGGAAAATATTTTACATTGGTGGACATGCCAGGTTATGGCTATCGAGCACCTGAAGATTTTGTTGATATGGTAGAGACCTATCTAAAGGAACGAAAGAAGTAAGGGGAAAAATGCTTTATAGTAGTTATACATTTAAACCAAAAGCATATTTTTGGTAATAGAGCATTCTACACGTGATGACCACTTCAGTTTTATCAAATGACTTTTAGAAAGTCCATTTTATTCTCATAATATTCTGCAACACAACATTTACAACCAAGGTATTTACTGCATGCTTTGTTTTTTTCCTGTAGGTTAGCTTAATCTGAAGTTCAAGTGTTTTTCTAAATTGAGACTACAAAGAGTACTTCAGCAGAGTTTACTAATGTTTTTATATCAAACTCTTAGACGGCTAATTTTGAAAATGAAAATTGTTGGTTAATGTGGTATTTACTAAATATAAGCAGATTTCATAAATTCTAATTGTTCTTAAAGTACCCCTAACATCACATCCTTTGCAAATGTTACCTTTTATGGTCTTCCTAGGTGGGCAAGTATTTCAAGCTTTGCACACATATAGGAAAATTTATGTTAAACTTTTGAAGTGTAAAAAAGTGTTAAGTATCTTTCTTGTGGCTTTACATAGAAATTAATATGAGATATTTATACAAGATATTTATACATGTCTCTTTCACTAGAGTTCAGGCTTTTAGAGGAAGGGGCTTACTCACCTTTGTATCCAATTCCAAGTATAGAGTCATGTGCAATACATGCTACTGAAATAAATTAATATTTAGTTAACTATTGGACTGTAGGATGGATCTGGTGAACTGAGAATTCCTTTTGCCTAAAAAAGTTTTTAAATTTGGATTGAAAATCAATCAAAGGAAAATTTATTATTATAGCTTGAGGGGCGAGGAGGGAGGAAGGAATGAATTTTATAATGCCATTAATCTTTATTTCTGCATTCTTACAGTTTGCTGAGAACATTTTTGTTAGTGGATAGTGTTGTCGGAATTCAGAAAGCAGACAATATTGCCATAGAAATGTGTGAAGAGTTTGCATTACCTTATGTAGTAAGTATTTCTTTTGAATCCTGGTTACAATTAGAAATACATAGCGGTTGTGTGTGTGTGTGTGTGTGTGTGTGTGTGTGTGTCTTTTTAATGAATAAGTAAGTTTTACCTCTTCAAGAGATAAAGGAGTACCTTTTGTATAATCTTTACCATTGTTAGCCGTTAATAAAATAAATCCTCTACTACTTTTATTCTCTTTTCCTTTTCTCAGCTTTAAGTTTTCAAAAGTATAGTCAAAGTTTTTTAAAGCTGTTTATTTAGTGCTCCTAGGTGCTTTTCTTTATGATGTTGTTTTTGTATTGTATTTTAATGGCAATGTGAATATTTGTCCAAAATGTTAGCAGCTCTTTTAACAGCAGCTTGGCAGATAGTACTTAACAGTATGTAAATAAAACTGCAACTGAAAATTTGTTAAACTAATTTGGAATTTAAGAACCATTACAAGAACATAGCAGGCTCCAGCACACACAAGTAGGATTTTTATACTCTATTCTTAAAGAACACAGGATTTCTTCTGGGAAAATCTTACTAGTGTTCTATTATTTGCTTTATAATAGAATACTGATTAGTAGGTTGGTATACATATTCATATTGCTTTGTGAGTTTTACAAATAAAGTAGCACTCTTAAAGTTCCTAAGGAAAAGTGAAGAACCCATTGGCTAAAATTTGGTCTTAAAAAAAGTGAGACAACTACTAAAATGTAATACTGGAGTGTAATGCAAGTCAAACCGTTAGTAGTCAGCAACGTTTTTGTATTGTTATGGAATTCTTCGGGTTTGCAAAGCCTTTGAAACATTAGTGATAACCTACAGTTTTGAGGAGCCGAAGGGTTGATAAACTTAATCTACAAAGTAAAAATGCCTAAGTAATGCCAAACTTGGTTTTTTTAAGTGATAATATTCCTGATTTGGTATCATAGGTATCAGTTTATGAAATCATATATTTTCTTCAGTTTTAACTTTAAAGAATTATAACTTTCCTTTTTGAAAAGGAGTTTGTACTAGAGGGATTATGTTTCCTTTTAAATATCAGCATTTGCCTTTATAAGAAAAGACTCCCATTTGGCAAGTTTCACAGGTCATTAGAAACCACACACTTTTTGCTTCTCGCTCCCTCTGCCAATTTACATTTTTATAAGTGAAAAGTATGAATGATGAGTCAGGAAATTTAATTTTATAGAAACTCCCCAAGGAAATCAGATAGATCAAGGTTTTACTTTTTAATTGATTTTATAATCAGCCATGCCTTGGCCTTACCTCTAGTATGTAATTGTCTTTGAATAAGTAAATTATTCAATGTTATTATTTACTGGTAAGCCTAGTAAGTTCTAGGCTTACTTGGAATCTACACTAATAAAAGAGAAACATGGTAATTAGTGTACGACTGCTACCCTTCCCATTGGCTAATCAGCATATCCTTATGCAAATTAACTGTCAGCCAAGATGGCGGCCGGCAGCCAGGCAGCTGGAAGCGAACATGAGGCTTGCTTGCTCCAGTGACTGCAGACTCCAACGTTCCCCACCTGACTTGCCG